ATATTTGTGTGAAACAGTTTGTGTGTATTTACAGGGTTGCTACACACTACACATATCATGCCCAAAATTGGTACATCCGTGATGCTTATCACCAATCGTAGGGTCTCTCATGCTTTGTAAATTGGCCAACAATTTAAAATTCCTCCATCATCTCAGTAGACTTTTAATGGTCTATCATGGGAGAAAAAATCACACTGGATTCACGGAATTGCTTCTTTTGAATTAGTACTGTAAAACTGGAGCTAAGACAAAGTTTGCCGCCCAACATTTCTTTGTGAGGATAGTTTTGGACACGTTTGGCAACTACAACATAACTAAAAAAAAAACTGGATAAATATATATATTTTTATTAATTTAAGTCTTGTTCGAAAAAATGAGGCGTTTGTAAGAGTTCTGTTGCATACTGTGGTTTTCCTGCCTGTGTGTAGCAGCTGAATGTCCCTGGCTATCTACCTGGTGATTCCAGCTTCCGTACTCATCATCTCAACTAGCTGTAGTATCGATATGTTCCTCGTTACTTAGATTGTCACCAGCTGGTCATTAGACAACTTTTCCAGGATCTCTCTCTCTCTGTTTTCTTTTTTAATTTCCTGAACCGTCAGTCTCTGTCCACCATTCTGGTACAACCAATCAGCCTTTTTATCTACTCTTATTCCTCTCCCAGAAAGCAATCTCTTTACTTGAGTCTTTCTCCATTATCTTTCAAAGCATCAAGCATCATTTGAAAATAACATTTTATTTTTCCTTGACTAGACTGCTGATAAATTAGTGCAACAGTATCAATATAAGTGATCTAAGCTGCCTGGAAACAGGGTTGATCTAAAAGTAGCTGACAAAAGAGACGAAATTAATCAATAATTGATACAAAACTATTCTAAATTTTGTTCAATGACATCAACAAGATACGGCAAAGATTTGTTATAAAGGGCTCATTCATTGAGGATTGTATATTACTTGTTCTTTTTCAAATTTAATTAGTCACTCTGACTCCTTCTTTACACTGGACAGGAAAACAGCACATAATGTAACAGTGGCGTTTTACCCGCCAGCTCATTCCCAAATGGGAGGGTTTTAGATGGGAAACGGGAACGTAAAGGCTTCAGATCGCTGGTCCCCAAACTCATGGGAGAATTGTAACACCATATGTAATTTCAGAAGTCCAGTCCACACATTATAAAGCAAGGAGAAACTCTGGGGCTTATTTTCATTTCTGTTCACATTGACAAGAGGGGTTTTAGCAGGAAATGATGTACGTTTACCTGCAAGGGTGACCAGATGTCCCTCTTTGTGCGGGACAGTCCCACATTTTCATTACTTTTCATGTGTCCCGCAAATTAAGGCTCATGTCCCGCATTATTGACAGTTTCCCGTTTCAAGTTTCAATCTTATAGAAGAAACTGTGGAGAAATCTGCCTGTTGCTGTCAGTCAAACGGAAGTGGGACTTTAACGCAGATCCGGAGCGCCCGAACCACCAAAGCAAGCGTGAGTGAGCCTCCATCATCAAACCCAATGGAGGCTCTAACACAGACAAGGTTTGAGATACCTACTTACATGCTGAGCCCCCTAAAGCACAGTGAAGAAATAATGAGAGAATAAATGGAAGCTTTGATCACTTATTCTCAGAAATTTGAGGCAAACAGTAACTCGAAGAAACTATTATTAGATTGGATCAGAATTTTTTAGAGATTACAATCTGATGTTTATTCAGGAAATTAAAATTAGATGATGTTTGTTGTCTTGTTTAAAAAATAGTTTTGTTTTTGAGTTAAGAAAAAATAGCAAAAAATATGGATTTTTTCTATGAGATGCTGATTTTAGTGGAAAATTAATTAAAAACAAACATAAATTGATCTAAAAATATTACTGGTACTTTTACTGTCATTCTATTGTGGAAAACATTCAATGAAAACTCTGAAAAGCTGCTTAAACCTGCATTTTTTAAATTACGGTGAGCCTATCTATAATATTAAAATGATCAGCGCCACTACAGAAGGCTTAAAGAGTCTGAGTTAATATGTTGTCGTAACTTCAGAGGAACTGTGGAATAGTAAAGCTTTTGCTGTATGCTTGCTCAGATTGAATTCAAATAAAATATATACAAGAAATATATGATGATAATAAGAATAATAATTTTATGTAAAAGGCAGAATATACGTTTTGTTTGTTTGTTTATTTCTCATTTCATTGGAACTTCACGTTGTCCGACTTTTGGCAAGTTGGAATCTGGTCACCCTATTACCTGCATGTGACTTTTATTTTGAAAGTTTCCGAATTCTTTACACTACTTTCATAACTGTCTGGCCTGATCAAAACAGCAAAGTTTGACGTGTTTTGGAAGCGTAGAATGTACAAAATAGACTCAGAACGTAATGATAGTGTCCGTTCACTTTTGGGACGCATCCAAAACTTTACATTTTGCTGCCAGAGGAATAGAAGTCGACCACTATAAGGGTGGCTAATTGCCTCGTATCACATTCCGTGGCTGTTTCGTGCCACGCCTAGTGGAAAGAAGGTGTGAGATTCAAATGCATGCTGAACTTGAAAGTCGTAATAAAGAAATTTAGTTTTCACGGCCTTGTCTACCTTGGCGTGTGACTGCCCTTGAGAAAGAGAGAGACGGGTGCATCTTGCCTAGTAGAAGCTAACCATTAGCATTAGAATATCTACAACATGGCGGAACACACTGGCTTGAATGTGCTTTACAGTATTCTGAGTTTCACCAGCCCCCCTTGACACTGCGTGGATAAGCGGGTACAGAAAATGGATGGATGTTCGTGCATTCCTAGTTCCATAAAACATCTACCTCCTGAAACAGGAGCGGAAAAACCTTCTTCCCACCAAAAACAACTCACAATGCATTAATTAAGCATTACTAATTAAAGGGACAGATGTAGCTTAGGAGGTAGAGCAGGTTGTACAGTAATCGGAAGGTTGCAGGTTGGATCCCGGCTCTGACCAGAGAATTCTGCTGTTGTGTCCTTGGGCAAGACACTTAATCCACCTTGTCTGCTGGTGGTGGCCGGAGGGACCGGTGGCGCCAGTGCTCAGCAGCCTCACCTCTGTCCGTGCACCCCAGGGCAACTGTGGCTACATCGTAGCTCATCCCCACCAGGGTGTGAATATGTGTGTGTGAATGGGTGGATGACTGATTGTGTTGTGAAGCACCTTGGGGGGGTTGTAGAATACTAAGAAGGCACTATACAAATACAGGTCATTTACCATAATTGATAGTAGAGACCACAGCAAATGTATTCAAAAAGAAGTGAATTAAACATGTAACCTATGAAAACACTGTAGTGCAAAGGTCTGGTATAAGTACGGGGGGGGGGGGGGGGGGGGGGGGCTCCACTGAACCAACGCTTTGTGCTTGTTTGTGGATTCACATTCATCTCCATGTCCCTCATGCAGACAGCTGAGGTGTGAATGAAAGAAATCCTTTTCTGGAGCATTCAGTACAAACCTGTGCTGATAATGGCTGCCTCTTCATCCTTTATTCTGCTTGTCTGTATTTCTTCTTCTGCCCATTAGTGTTGCTATCAGTTATTAACACAGGGCTAGTAACATGCAACAAAGTGCAACACCTGCAACATATGGTAAGTTTGAATTGTTCAGATACTTCTGAATTGAAATTGAATAATTTCTTTGAAGTGCAAAATATTTAGTGATTCATGGAATATTTTTTCATTTATTTATTTTTCATTAAAGTAAAGTTTGTTCTTCTGTGGTCCAGCACAAGTAACTGATCGTCAACTCATTCAATAGTTAACTATGTCCGACTTGATGTCGACTCGTCTGAGTCATCCAGGTCATGGGATTCTTATCGGATGACTTTAGGGATGGGTACCAAATTCGGTACTTTTTAAGGCACCAGCCGAATTCCATAGTACCGACCGAGCACCGATTGACGTCATTTCAAACGGTGCCTCGTTTCTGTACCTGTCCTTCATATTGAGAACTTGCCAAGACAGCTGCGCATGCACAAGAGCGTTATGTCGTCGCTCGCTGTGAGCCAGTTGTAAACAGAGCAGCATGGTAGAAAGAACACAGGCTAAAGCTTGGGTCCACTTCACTAAATGTGATGGGTAACTGGGTGATGATGAAACCAGCGACAACGATCTAAGTGAGACATCCTCATCTTAATCTGCTCCGGTAGGTAAATAAAACACTTAAGATAACGTTAGCTTGATATAATAGCTTCCGTTTCACCAATGGTGCGTTCGCTTTCTCCTCGGAACTCCGAATTTCCGACTAGAAGAACACGAACACGCTCTAAAGTTTGGCTTCACTTTACTAAATGTGACGGTTGATTGGGTGAAGATGAAACCAGTGACAACGATTTAAGTGTGAGGCATCATTGTTTTAATCTGCTCCAGCAGCTAAATGAACTGTTTAAGATAACGTTAGCTTGATATGTTAGCTTCCATTGCCACCGTTATCAGCTAATGGTGCGTTCGCTTTCTCCTCGGAAATTCTAACTTCCCAGTAGGAAAAATCAAATGAAAAAGGACGGCAAAAGGAATGAAGATACACAGTAAATTTAGTTCACAGTAAAGATGTTTGCTTCAGTTTAATTATCAGCTTATAAAACTACAAGGAAGATGTTAAAATTCAAACAGTTGCATGTTATTTATCGTGATATTTATCAAATATTGTTATATATTGAGAAAAACATATATTTAATTATAAAAGAGAATTAAAATAATAAACACTCAAAAGTATCGAAAATTGGTACCGTTAAGTACCGGTATCGATTCGTAGGTACCGGGAATTAGTACCGAATCGATTCAAATGTCAAAGGTACCCATCCCTAGACATGATAAATATTTGCCATTGCAAACAATATCACAGAAAATGAGGTTAAACCCTAATTCTATTGATCATAAATCCTGTAGTGACTGTGAAATGAGAAACCGGGAGACATGTGTTCCTGGACCAAAAAGGGGAGGGAAGTGACTGGAGTGGGTGAGGTGAGGAAGTATGGAGACACGTTCAGCAGCAGAGAGAGGAAAGGGAGAGCGGTAGGAGTGGAGGGGGAAGACAGGGGGAGGGAGCTAAACGCAGTCCAGCTCCTCTGCGCTGTGGAGCAGTAGTCAGTCTGATACTGAAGGACACAGAAAGAGGAGAGACTTTGCAGCAAAGCAGAGCATGACTGATAAACTCAGAAAAAAGACGTCAAACAGGAAGAAAAGCATCTTCCTCTCATCAGTTTGAGTGAGTAGTTGGAATAAGCTGCCAAGGAGGCACAACAAGAATAACAAGGAGGAGGGGGGAGGAGGTGCTGGAGGTCCGCGCGTGTTCATTTCTCCTCTTGCACCGTCCGCTTGAGGAGCCTTGCAGCTGATGGTGTCATTGCGACAGTGCTCCGCGAGGGAGCTGTGGGTAAAAATCAACAGCTGAGGCATCATCTCTCAGGTGGATTTGGAGTAACCCTGGGATCTGGGATCTGGAAGAGTTTCTTTTAGGGTGTCTGTGGTTTCTACCTTATTTCACTTCCTCCCCGTTCTTCTGGTGCATACGTCTGCACAAGAGGCTTTGCTTCAGGGACTGCTGCTCTGCTCCTTCTTTTCCTACCTCGCATCTCTCCTGCGTTCAGCCGGCTTCCCCGTAACTGTTCTGGGACTCGGATTGGCGGTTTGCTTGCTGGCTACCCCACAGAGAGGGGGAGCAGATGGGTGAGTGTCTACAGGGGCTGCAGATAGGTTGTGGGGGGTTCTCTTTTACTGCTCTCCGACTCCTGACGACTCACATTTCTCCTCCATTTAACTTATTTTTCACCCCTTCATTGACTGGTGTCATCATTTGCTCATTTTCATTCACCAGTGTACACCCCCCCCCCCCCCCCCCCAAAAAAAAAGCATCTCATACCATCTTTTTGTGACAAACGTCTTTTAGACACTTCATTCCTCTCATTTCCAGTCACTTACCTTTGGATTTTTATGTCTTCACTCACATTTCCCATCTTCGTTCTTCCCCTTTCCTGCATCCGCTTCTCATTTGCATCCTCGCATACACTAGGATACTTGTTTTGTACACTGTAACCTGGAAGTCCTCTGTACTTTAATGCCTGAAGCTAATAGGTACCGGGCTTGACATAAAATCGACAGTCAGAGGTTGAGCCCTGATAATCCCTGCATCCATCTCTTCATCCATCACTCCCCTGCCTCCTCACCCTCTCCAACTCACACAAACACCTTAAATGGTGCCTTCTTGCCAATCATTGTCCCCTTCAGCTCAAAGCCTCACAAAAACAGACATTACTGTCAAAAATGTGCTTGGGTACTCTCTCTCTTTTATACACACAAAATACTATGTATTTGTACAGCAACTAGCCATGACTTAGAAAGCACTAATGGATCTTATTTAGTAACAGTGCAACGTCTTGGTCGGAGATCCTGGCACTCTGGTATCATTCTGGCACATTCCAAACAACTAAAACAATGTAACTAACTAAAAGAAAAGCCTCTCCTGGCTGCAAGTCAAAGTGTCCATCTGCAGCAATGCAGAAGGAATAGGGGAAGAATTATAATCAATCTGACTTCCTAAGTCTCCACAGCTCAGCCTGATTCAGTATTTGTTAGATTTGCCCAAACATGCCTAATCCACAGAGGCCCCGCTTCATAACACATACGATCTGTTGTCCGTGTGCCAGACCACAGAAACCCCCGTCAATGCTCTAACACGACAGAAAAGTTGTTTTATTATATGAAAGAGGTAAATGAATGATAAATGACCTGCACTTGTATAGCGCCTCGCAGAGTAAGGACTCCAAAGCGCTTTACACTACAGTGTATCATTCATCCATTCACATACACATTCACACACTGATGGTGATGAGCTACGATGTAGCCACAGCTGCCCTGGGGCGCACTGACAGAGGCGAGGCTGCCGAGCACAGGCGCCACCGGTCCCTCCGACCACCACCAGCAGGGAAGGTGGGTTAAGTGTCTTGCCCAAGGACACAACAGCAGAATTCTCTGTCCAAAGTAGGGTTGTCACGGTAACCGGTATAGCGGTAAACCCCGGTAAAAAAGTTGACAATAAAAATAACCGTCCAGTTTTTAAAAAACTATATTATCTCGGTGGGTTTACCGTGGCCGCGGTTTCGGCGCGATGACCCTTACCAGCCACCGTCGCTTCAGCTGAAGTTCCCGCGGTGCGCACACGCACTTTTTAGTTTGCAACGGCACCAAAACTTTGAAGCTGAAATAATGGCCGAAGGAGGCGACGGCAGCGCCCAGGACATCCATCAGCCCTCAAAGAAGACTAAATCGGAAGTATGGGCATATTTGGGATTTCTGAAAAATGCTGAGGGACAGTTAATAGAAGACGGCTATCCCGTTTGCAGAACGTGCAGGAAACAAGTGTCTGCAGAAGGCAGCAACACTTCAAATCTCATGGCACATCTGCGTGACGATCACCCACGTCTCCACAGCCAGTGCAAGGTAAGTTAACATTAGCATTTTAGCTTAAATGCATGACGCGAGGACTTCTGGTTGAGGGAGAATACAACGAGTCACTATATACTGCAGCCGCAGCGTCCTCTGCCAGCATTTAAACCGTGTCACGGACAACCTGTTGCTGGATGAAGCATCTTATTTGTTGATGATGAAGAGAAATATACAATTAGTTCCTTGTCATGGATTTGTTTACTTATTCAATGCCATTTATACTTGAACATTTGGATTTGATTACATAGTGTAGTAGTTATTTTAGTAATTTGTTTAAAGTGGCTATTTATTTTAAATACATATTTTTTTAAGGTTGACTTGTACAGTGCTCAAGTCAAGTGTGGACTGGAGTTTTAGATTTTCATTTTGATAATGAAGAAAACAAGTATATGAGAAAACAAGTGGTGTTTCTTTGATTTGTTTACATATTGTTTATGTTTTGAATGTTTGGATTTGTATAATTTAAACCTGCACTGACTACTGTAACATGTTCCAGAAAAATAAGCTATTTGTTCCTTTACTTGTGAAAAGTTGCACTTTTGCTAAGGCTTTGTGTTATTTTAGGTTTAATAAACACTGTTAAACCTTTTCAGAACTATTTCAGTTTGTGTAGAACAGGACTATCAATGCTTTCTGAACATATGCAACACCGTTTAAAAAATACCGCGATAATACCGAAAACCGTGATAATTTTGGTCACAATAACCGTGAGGTTAAATTTTCATACCGTGACAACCCTAGTCCAAAGCCAGGATCGAACCTGCAACCCTCCGATGACTGGACAACCCGCTCAACCTGTTGAGCTACTGCTGCCCCAAAAGGTAGTTTTGATGTTCTGAGCAACTGAGCAGAGGTGCTCCCAGATAAACTTCATAGAGGTGGCCAGATGGGGCCAGAGAAAACTTTGGGGGTGGCACACCAGATGTGTCTGTGTGGTAACCTAAGAAGACCTGACTTCAAATCAGAAGAACACTTTTTTTTCTTCAGAAATTCATTTTAAACAGTTGTTTGGAATTTCATTAAAAATGTATTGTAGAATGTCACAACAGTTTATTTAATCCACCTGATGATGTCTTTACAAAAACATCCACAAAACGAAAAATACTTGCTTTTTTATTCAGATTATTCATTTACTCATTAATTGTACATTTTTATTGGGTTTTACATGTATGTATGATTAAATATTATGAATTTATAGTTTATGTGAACAATAATAGGATTCACCAGATTACAATGGTCTTCTCTGGTGTGACCACCAACTTTCTAGGGGTGCCCCCAGCCACCCCTAGCCACCCCTTGGGGGCACCACAGCAAAGGAGGTATAATTAATGCTAAACCAGTAATCTGTTCGCCCTGCAACAAATGAGGTTTGTCTTAACAGCTAAAACCTAACTGTTCATAGGCAGAAACTGGGGTGATCGTTTACTCCTTCTCATAATAAAGTATTCATTGAATGGATAGAGCCTACTTCCTTACATATCCCATGTGGTCTCATTTATAGACAAACAGTTTATGGTTGGGTTCAGTAGGAAACAGGAAATTCACTGGTAATGATACAGTCATTAGCCCCAAATAGCTTTTATCCTCTCTGATTGGTCACCTGTTGAGTCTAGGTGTATCATCTGTGTGCTGGAGCGTTATTAGTTGAGTCAGACATATGACGTTCTCAAACACGTGTCCGCTCAGAGATCAGCGGTCTGTGCAAATGTGGTCTACACTTTTAGAATTATTGGATACTAATGCAGAACAGTTTTGTGTGGTTGGGTTGGAATTAGTAAATGGTAAAAATGGCAATTTGCTTGTATTTATATAGAGGCTGGCGAGCGTTGCAACAGACCGAGTGGGGCTCGAACCTGCAATTCTTTGGCCAAAGGGTGGGCATTTACCTTGTCTGCCACTGTTAGAAATATAACAGAATCTGCAAAAAGAGGCTAAAAACTCAAAAAATAAAACAACAAATTGATGTTTTCTGATTTTCTAAGTAAATGGTTCCTAACTTTAGTATTGAGAATCCCTGTGGGTCATTAAACATTAAGCGGGGTGTTTTGAGAAAAACTTAAAGGAAATAAATTAATATTAGAAACACTTACTTGTGACATATTTAGCCAAATATATAAAAACAAAAAAATACAAACAGTAGCAGAAAATTGATGCATTTTGACCAGTTCTATACTCTAACTCATAAATCCTGGGGTCACAAGCTGCAGTTTTAATTTGGGGGTCCACAGCTGAAAATGGATACAACAGACCCAGGGCAAAGGCTTGAAAGGCTGATTGGATGCTGTATCCAGCCTGATTCTGACTGCAGCTATACATGTAATGTCTATTATACAATACAAGCAGATGCAAAGTGACTTTAAAGTTTTATTTTATTATATTTTCAATTTCCAGCAACAAACACCATTTGGCTATTTAAAGCACTGTGTGGGATGTTGTTCTTTAAAAATGTCTTCTCTTAAACAGTGTTTTTCTGGATAGTCACCTGCAGGCTGACCAGCCATCTTAAATATGTAAATATGTATTCTGGCCACCCATTGAAACAACCAAGTAGTGGGGAAGAATCTATGTTTGTCTTTCAAACTCTCCACATGCGATCAAACAGCGCTTGGACCAATCACAGCAAAGAGCATTATACATTCATCGCTATGTTAACAGGGCAGTCCACCATACACCATCAAAGAAGAAGAAGCAAAGACGTCCTTTTTTTAAATAAATTACTTAAGTACCTCTTTATACTCATGTCTCAAAGAAATGCCTAACCCTAAATCATTCCATGTTGATCCCAAAGCACTTTCAAATGAGAGCCGTTCCATCTTTGTAGTTTTTCTCTGTCACCTAACAAACAGAGAGCACTGTGATTGGTAAGGCACTAAACCGTTGGGCCTAATAGTACACCTGCTGAGGTTACAACAGTGTGTGGCTAGACCATCCTGCAGAGCAAAATATTTTGCCACTGCTTCATTTTGTCTAGATGTCTTGCAGAAATCTCATTAAACAAATGTCTTTTCAGGGAACGTAAAATTGTCCTTACTCCTCATTAAATAACTATTCATTCAAAAAGATTTCAAGACAGTCTATACGAGTGATCAACTTTACAGTCCAATTCATGAATTTTCTTTATTTATTGGACTTTAGGTTCAATTTCACTAATCACTTTGATGTTGGTAAATGCCAAATGACTCAATATACATAGAAATTGTATTGCTGCAATAGTCTTTTGTTTA